AGCAAATCCCAGAAATTCCAGCTGGGAACTCCCAAAATCCCCAATTCCCAAAAATCTCCGGTGCCCACTGGGAATTCCCGGCCCATTCCCAGGATAAATCCATCCCTGCTCGACGTGAGTGGGCCCGGAAAAAATTCCCAACAATTCCCAGAAAAAATTCCCAGGAAAAAATTCCCAAAAGTCACTAATGGGAACTCCCAAAAGCCCAAAAATCCCAAAAATCTCCAATGCCCAGTGGAAATTCCTGACCCATTCCCAGGATAAATCCGTCCCTGCTTGACATGAGTGGGCCTGGAAAACATTCCTAGAAAAAATTCCCGGAAAAAATTCCCAGAAAAAAATCCAAAAAAAATTCCCAGAAAAAATTCCCAAAAACCACAAACGGGGACTCCCAAAATCCCAAAAATCCCAAAAATCCCAAAAATCTCCAACGCCCACTGGGAATTCCCGGCCCATTCCAAGGATAAATCCGTCCCTGCTCGATGTGAGAATTCCCAAAAATACCAAAATTCCTGGGAAAAAAAAAACCAAAAAAATTCCCAAAAATTCCCAGAAAAAAATCCCCAAAAAATTCACGGAAAAAATTCCCTGGAAAAAATTCCTGGAAAAAAATTCCCAAAAATCACAAATGGGAACTCCCAAAATTCCAAAAATCCCAAAAACCTCCAACGCCCACTGGGAATTCCCGGCCCATTCCCAGTGGGAATTCCCAGGATAAATCCGTCCCTGCTCAAGGTGAGAATTCCCAAAAATACCAAAATTCCTGGAAAAAAAAACCCCAAAAATTCCCAGAAAAAAATTCCGATAAATTCCAGCTGAGAACTCCCAAAATCCCCAATTCCCAAAATTCCCAGTGCCCAATGGGAATTCCCAAAAAACCCATTCCCAGTGGGAATTCCCAGGATAAATCCGTCCCTGCTCGATGTGAGAATTCCCAAAAATACCAAAATTCCTGGGAAAAAAACCACCCAAAAAAATTCCCAAAAATTCCCAGAAAAAATTCCTGGAAAAAATTCCTGGAAAAAATTCCCAAAAATCCCAAATGGGGACTCCCAAAATCCCAAAAATCCCAAAAATCATCAGCACCCACTGGGAATTCCCGGCCCATTCCCAGGATAAATCCATCCCTGCTTGACGTGAGTGGGCCTGGAAAATATTCCCAGGAAAAATTCCCAGGAAAAATTCCTGGAAAAAGTTCCTGGAAAAAATTCCCAAAAAAATCACAAATGGGAACTCCCAAAATCCCAAAAATCCCAAAAAATTTCAACGC